CCCCTTTGGTGAGCCGGGATCCACCTGAGCTGTATCTTAATGCCAATGAGAATCTAATTGTTACCTCTTCGTGATAAGAACATCCTCACCTCCAGTACATTAATTCTGAAATTTATACTAGTAGTATTGGAGGTTTGAGAGCTCCTTACTTGCGGAAACGGCATTTGGCCATAGGGGGGATAACTAGAAGTTATAGCAACTACACCACGCCTATATTCATTGGATGCCGCCTCTACAAGGGAAACAAACCGAAGAGATATCTAGACAACACTACAACAAGTATGGTTTGAAATAAGAAAATTTCCAACATGAAAAATAACAAGAAAGTATCGAGATTAAATTGTGGTTTGGTTCAACGAAAACCCTGCGAAGTTACAAAAGGAATGGTGATAGACGTCCGTTTCAGTAGTAGAGGCCGAAATGAATGGACCACCGGATCTCATCGACTTATCTACGGGGCATCTCCCTCTAAAGATCCAGTCCAGATTTTTTGATCCGCCTCCTCAATCCGCTCCCTTGGAATTCTTCCATGGACTTCCACTCCAGATGAAAAAGTCACATGCATTATAGCGGGACCATCATCTATGACTGCCCCAGTGAACGTCAGGCTAGGTTGTTTTAGAGTTGCTGCGTCATGATAAACCACCGTCACAGGGAAAGTGACCTCCAAGCTTGTCTGGGTGGTTCCGGTTGGCATAAAGGTCAACTGGCGTGTGATCTGAGACCCATCGGCCTTCAGTGTAAGAGTTCCCTTGGGCTCTGGAGCTGTGAAGTGTAGGTCTAGAGATCCTAGAGGTTGATTACAGGTTAGCTAGCAAGCAAGCAATGTGTTTTGTCGATGAGATATAAGAATTGCATAACGTACCTTCTGCCTGTTTTTCCGCTTCGAGGAGCGTGATCCGATGAGTTTCGCCATCCCAGGTCAATAAAGCAACCACGGCACCATTTTCACCCTTAATGGTAAAGTTTCCCCATTTGTGGGTGCCGAAGAGATGAATCGAGATGTCCGTCGAAATTCCTTCGGTGTACGAGCCACTGAACGATTTGACTTTTTGGTATCCGGCAGGGCCCATGTCTATGCCAAACGCTCCTTCAATGTGACCCGTCTGTTTATCAAGGGAGCCCTTGATCTATTCACAGTTAGCAATGCCAGGCGGGAAGGATATGTCCAGCCAAATTGGCTCTGAAGTACTCACATCGAAGGGTCCTATGTGTTTGTTGAATTCTGGATTTCTAGATCAGAATAGCTCCCGTAGGACTAAGCATCCCGAGCACGTACCTTGCTTTCTAGACATGGTAGTTGGTATGGTAGTGAGCCTTGCAATGAAGAGATGGAAAAGTAAACTGATGATTCCTTAACCCGTGGGCAAGTACAGGCCTTTTATATGCTCTCCTGGCCACAATAAAAGGCCATGTGTTATCTTATATTTATGACGTGTATCTAAATATCAAATTTTGTTTATATGAGATGTTGGCCAGATTTCGGTTGGAGGCACGAGTAAGGCCTAAAGATATTTGGGTCGAGTGGCAGGACGCTTAACATGAGATATGTGGGGCCGAAAGATATAGCTTTGTTGGCAGTTTTCTACATGCATCGGGATTTTTGAGTGGTCAAATCTACCGCTGGGGTCGCCAGCTGATGTCAATGTGCAGAAGATATCATGCACGACGAGAAGCAGTATTACAGAATTGGATATCAGCTTTTACGTATATAGACAGACGTTGCTCGGTCGATCTCGGCCTTGGTGGGGTAAGACATGCAGAAAAGATGATCGACAAGATGGAGTCCAGATCGGTTTTCTCCGGGGATTACAGATGTTTGGGATGCTCAAATTAGCTGCGCCATGGGTTTTGTGTGTCCATCTTTTTCTGTTAATGAGTTCATTATCCTATTCTTCCTTGTATTGTTCTATGACAAGGTTGCCCGAGCTTCAGTAGCCATGGGGAAACAAGCACAGAGTAAGGTATATATATTTACCAGAGCTTTGATATGTGGGAAGTGGAAGAAGACATCCAATAATAGAAGAGAAAAGAGCAGAGTTGATATACTGTATATTATAATCGCTGTCTGTTTTATAATACTTGACACCGCATCATAGCAAATAGCTTGTTCTTTCTTACTCGAATTGATCTATATTCTAGTTGATAAGATTAGGTTTCATTTTAGCTAACAATAATGATCCTCCTCAGCTAAGTTGCGGGTTTTACTGCTCGGGCCTTCTAGCCCAGCATACTCACGTTCGTATTGATAAATGCGGACTGGGTATGTCTTGGTATTGGTTCGATTTCTCAAACTGTTCCCTACAGGAGTGTACAGCGACCACACCATAATGACCAGGTCTACGAAATGGCGAGAAGATCGCCGAACCTTCCTGCGTGGCTGGCTGAAGATTCGCACACCGCATTTCTCGTCAGATGATACATACTTGGGTTTGGTCGTAAGCGAACTACAGCTGTGGAGAGTTATACATAGCATTAGAACACGAACTATGTTATAGGCGAGTGAGATGCGTGCCAAGATATTTACGTATACATGGTTACATATTGAGAATATACAGGGGGTGTGTTTGTGTGCTTGTGTGTGAACTCATTTACCCTGACCCCTACCTCTCCATCCACCGACATCTGTGGATGTTTTTTCCTCTGTTCCATATTGGTTTTGGGTTATTTTCCCTTTGCACTATCAAGGCCGTACATACCTAGATAAGTGGCGTGGCACCGCTAGGGAACTGCAACACCGCAGGATTAGAGACCAGGGATCTACGATTTTATAGGGAGGAATTTCACTGTTGGAAAAGACTAGGCCTAGTACTCTGCCTATAGGGGCCCGGGTCAGGGTAGTACCCGTAGGCCCTTCTACTCTTTCAGCACATGGCGCTTCAGGCTTGTTATTTCAGGCAAGTTGCTTAGTTGCCACCCCCGGTCGCCCTTCGAGAAGTGTGCCGAGCAATGTTAGATAGTAATCCAGTCCAATCCAATCCGTGGTTCCGGTCTCCCTGTTAGCCCAACGCATAGGTACCTAAGCTGACCCAACTCGCCATGGGATTGATTTCCAATCGCATGTTTCAATGTCCCTGGACGGAAGGTGTTAACTTAGCAGTTCGTACATAACAATTCACTGGCATTGCAGCAAGCTTTGGTATGTCATCTAGAGGGAGTTCCTAACGTCTCTGGAAGGGCGAATCCATGATAGTAACAGGCTCCACAACGCGGCTTTCTTCGGGTGATTTCAGTCCGGGAGCCAGGACAGCATGTACTGCGCGGTATAAGAATACTAAAGATGAAAAACTATTTGCAGCGCCTAGAGTTGGTTTTGGGGCGGGTTCGGGTTCGACATCTAGGACCCGCCCCAGGAAATCGCCGGGGCTAGTGCGTTCTCCGTACCACTCTAGTTTTACAAAAAAAAGCCCCGTTATAAGCAATTAATTCAGCAAGCGACTCAAATTGCTTATATCTGGGAATTGCTTATAGCGAAATTCCTATATCGACTAGTTATCACTGGAATTTGACTAAATTTGTATAATTTATATTACATATTCAATAATCTTCTCAGCAGCCAGGGGTAAGTTGATAGTAATTTGTATTCTGCTACAGGAAAATATATATTCTTGTTTTGTAAGGCTTGAGACTAAATAAGAGAAAAACACGGCACTAGTATATTTTTCACATTATATTATTGCTTAGAAAATCCCACTTTACTCGTTTATAAGGAATTGTGTATAGAGAGTTAAACAATTGTATGAAATTTCCCTCCAGCGGGTTTGCTTATAGCGGGGTTTACTGCGTAAATTATATGACTTATATAGAGGCTTTAAAATTCCAGTTGTAACGAGTGTATATAGTGATGTTGCTAGAAGCCATCCCTCGACCTAAGAAATTTGAATCGCTTGCTAACTTAATTGCTTAGAACGACGTTTTACTAGAAATACAACCCAAGGCCAACTTAGAAGTTCCCGCAATACTGCCATTCTTATTCTGGCATTCAACTAAACAGCAAAAGCCAAACCTTATTCATTGCCGTCGTGGGTCCCGTCAAGTTGAAGAATGTCGGTTAGGGCAAAGGGGCAGATCCCCTTTCATGGATTCTTAGAGTTTGGAATGTTTAGTAAGTGTTTATCTGGCTCTAACAAGTGTCCTTTGTCCGCGTTGATCATGTTACACGAGTCATGTAGCTTCTCGCACCATTGTACATTGCTGGTCCTGTGTGTTCACAGTGGTTGAGAATAATTTAGAATTTAATCCTGGCCCCAAGCTTTCTCGGCAATATGCCTACGGGAATGAGCGACTTGTTCACCCCCTTAGACTATTTTTCCTGATCATGAGGCACCTACCCATAGGTTGACTACGGTATACTGACGCTTTCTTATCTAGGTGTCTCAGACACGAGAAACTAGGCTAGATAGGTATGAAGATAGTCCTTGTCGAATCCCAAGATTCCCAAAGCGTTTCAAGGGGTGTTCGCCTTGAATTGTGGTCAATTTAGTAGAATATTCTCCCTGATAAGGCTAATACGACATCGATAAGCGGATAGAAAGGAAGAGATTATCAAGCATGTTTTAATACGGCTGTCAAAATGAACTTACATGGAGGTGGGGAGCAATGTCAGACTTAGGATCTACTTCGCTCAGAGTAAGACAGTGAAATTCCCGCGCCTATTTGCCCAGTTTTGATTTCAACACCCTATACAACCAACTTGAAGCACATACGGTCGTAGCAGCCCAAAATAAGCTATGGAGATATCCAAGCATCATACGCGAGAAAATATCTGACGTGTGTCGCTGCTGATGGTACATTCCTCGCCTGGAATGCTAGCTGTTTACCATCTCTTTCGGTTCAATTGACGCCTCTATAAGTGAGTCTGTAGCACCTTTCATCGCGTGCTCGAAAGCTTTCGATCTTTGTCTCTCAAACTCCGGCTCAGAAGAAATACTGAGGTTATCTGATTCAATTGCAGCCTCGCGGAAGCATTAGTGCAAGCGTTTGATCATCAATTAGGAACGATGCAGTCTGAAGGAGCTTCCGCCGGTCGCTACTCAAGATACCAAGGCTCGTCGTGGAATGGACAAACGCAATCGCTACGCCGGATGATGGTTTATACCACCCGGGTCAGACAGCGTCAGGGGACCAACATGCACAAACATCTGCAACAGGGAATGGTCTCTCTTACTCTGGTCAGGGTGTGACAGGAGGGCAATGGGCAGAGCCATCTAGGTCAGATGGCGGCGTCTACGGCACGGGACAAGGCCGCCCTGGAGGCCAAGGGATGAATGCATGGTCGCAAGGTACTACGTCGGGTGGTAACGTTCAGAATCCAGGACAGGCCTCGGTTTCAGGACAACAACCACAAGCCAGTACGACGACGAGCGGCCTGCAGGCGACCCAATCAACATCGACGACACAACTTGCGCAGACACCGACACCAAATGCCAGTCTCTACCTCGAGGGACAGAATACTGGGGGAAATGGAAACGGAGGGCAGCTGGCAGCAGATGGTAGCCTCTCTCAGGCCGGAGTAGCTACTCCAGACGATGGGCTCTATCATCCAGAGCACGCAAATGCGAATGATCAAGGGGCACAACAATGGACACCAAGTGACGGTCTCTATCATCCTGATGGATGGAATCCTGGCTCGGTGACCAACCCTACATCAACAAACTCTCGTCCTGATGGGACGGGAACGCAGCTATCGTCGCCGTCGCCAACCTCCAGTATCACAAGTAAGCCGACAGCTACCAACGATTCTTCTAGCTCAACTACGACCAATCCAAACGCTGCTACGAAGATTGCAGTCCCTGTTAGTGTCGGAGTCGTTGCGGCGGCAATGGTAGGTGTTATCCTGTGGTGGCTGTATAGAAAGTCACAGGCTGCAAAGGCGGCAAGGAAGCGGAACAGCTCGTTGGAAGAAGGAGATTATATGAAAGATGACGGACCGTCGCTCCTCAAGAGGAGTGTGGCCGCATTGGGCGGATATAGCTTGTTCAAGCCCTCCTGGAAACGGACTCGTGTCGCTAGTCATTCATCCATGTGCAGCGGCGAAAGTTCATGCAATAAATATGGAGATCACGTTGAATGGAACGAGTCTCGTGCACCAGGTGAGGCCAACCTCTACGACCTCGAGAAGCTACAACCTGAGAATACTGCTTCTACGGAGGTGTTGGCCCTAGAGGGCCCCCGAGACAGGGATATAACGAAACCAACCCCTACGCTGAGAGTTGAGACCTCCAGTATATCAACATCAACACGAGTTTGCACACCGCCATCGCTACCTGGTGTGCCCGAGGAGCCTGAGCAACATGAAAAACATGAAGAACCCAGTCCCCCAATTACACCAGTCGACTCGAAGGCTGCGATGGGAGAGGTATTTTCGGTAGAGATAAGTTTCACACCGGCTAATGCCAAGCATATAGAGCTCAAACAGGGTCAAACTGTTACAGTCTCGAAGGTTTATGATGACGGTTGGGTAAGCTAAACTCCATTGCTGTCCCTGGTTAGTTCGTTGAATGAGGAAATATGTGCTAATGTCCTACGTCACTAACAGGTACTGTGCCATTTACCTGAGAGCAAAGCAGAAGGTTTAGCGCCACGAGCGTACTTGTCAGCATCGCCTCTTAAGGGGATGATCTCAGGCTCTAGCAATCTGATGCTGCATCCACATTACAACGTCTCTCAATTTTCATTCTCAAGTCAATCAACCAGCCTCCATACGGACGTGGGCCAAACCTCACACAGTGATGCGCAACAACCAACGCCTCAATGAGCCCTGCACTGTCTGTTCGGATATAAGACCTAAGCACATAATTATTCGATGGCCGACTAGGCAGAAACGCGGGACTGTTTGAGAAATATGGTGATTATGCAGTAGTTGGAGAACTGAATTTGGGAACTTCCGACGAAAGGGAATGCATGACTGCTATTGATAATGACTTAATTTTGTCGAAACCAACATAGTAATCTAAGAGCCATAGTACCTTAATTGTTAGCACTTGATACATAACCACCCTATAGCCTTATTAAATTGCAACTGAGAAGGTTAATTGGAAAGTGCAGTATCACTTCGTATCATTGTTTCCAAATATTAAGTCTATGCCACGTTTTTCTAAACGCTCATGGGCATTTGGCAAGGGCATCTGTATGAATACTAACACAGAAGTGTCCGATCAATTGACAACATTTTAGCCCATCATAAGAGGTCCTCCGTTAGAAAGATAGCGAGCTATTTTAGCACTGTACCTTTTGAACTAATTACATCAGTAATACACCTCAAATACACTTAGAGGCGCCGAACAAAGTATTTATTAGTCGTTTTATATCACTTCCCCATTTGTCTATCGCCCAACCCAGCTCCCACCGGCAAACTTAGTTATAGATCGTCACAACTTGGCTCTCGTTCTTAGGCGCACCACAAGCTCCCACAAAGTCCCCAAATCTTTCGTCCAGCCCTTGTACAAAGCCCTCGAACTTTGACGCACCACAACTATCTCCCGGCCCACCGCGACACTCTTCCAAAGGCTGGGGACTCGAGTTCACCAACACCCGGTAATACTCGCCCTCGTCATATCCATAGCTATCGCAGCTCAGCTTCTCAATGGCAATGTTCGTCAAAAACGGCAAAATGTCACTGCTCTTCCACTGTCGGCCGTAGTTGATCTTATCTGTTGGCATAGTCTTGTTGACATTATTGGCACCCGAAAAGGCGCTGTTGTTAAAGAGACCCAGGGCTGTGATAACAGTCGGTGGGAGTTCGCGGTGCGTGAAGGAAACATAAACATCCTGGCTAGAGTTGGAAGCAAGGAGACCCAAGCTAGCATTCACCCATGGAAAGCCGATCCTTGGCGATGCATAATTCCCGTATCCCACGTTATGGAAGTACCTGATATCCTCGCCGTACTCGAAGGCGAGCCAGTCATTCGAAGAAAAGAGAGTGGTGGCACAGAAAGGCGAGTCGCCCCGGATGACGGTTTCGTAGCCGCAGAACTCGAACATGCTTACTACGTCGGAAGTCGTGAAGTTGAAGTTAGGGGCTTGGTCATTCAACCGTTCCTTGATAGGTGCAGTGTACTTCTGTATCCATTCCTGATTTACTGCTGTTAGCTGCAGAAACGGGGAAGGTGAGGTAAGGAGGTGCGTACTTGGGACTGGTCGCTACCGTAGCTTCCACTATACGCGGGACAACTTTTGTAAGGAGTGAGGGAGTCCACGCCCGTATTCTTCTTCTCTTTAACTTCTACGAGATGCATCCCCGTGGTTTTGTTGAGTGTATAGCCCTCAATAAACCCGGCGGCTGTCTTGGTCGTTCGATCTGCAGAGGATGACCAGACTTTGCTCGGATGGCGTAGACTAGCATAGCGGGTGCGGAAGTTGACGCCTAACTGCACAGCTTCCTTGTACCCGACTTTCGTGACCTTTTCAAGATGCTCTTCGTCAACGGGGGCGGACCAATTCGCTAGGAACTTGAGATCCGTCGTTTTCGACCAGTCCTGCGTTGTGTTGCGGAGCTTTTTCACAAACGGCTCGAGATATGTTTCGTAGTCGAAATCGTTAGCATAGATGGCTGCGTGCCGGATCAGATATGCTGCCTTTGTTACGTTGCATCCCTGTGGAGGAGAAGATTCTAATGGGGGGTCATTGATGGTGCGGTAGGGAGCTATGCCAGCGAGGTGGTTGAGGGGATTGAAGGATTCACTGGCGGTGGGAACGCTTAGGGCTCCGAGGAGTAGAGCGACGGGCAGGAGCTGCATTTTGCTGGTGTGCTCATCTGGGTTGGGCTGATGGTAGATTAAACCTTCGCGATGCGATCCTTGGATTTATAGACGATTGACTTCCAGTTACCTCGAGGTAGTCGTCGATATTTGGCCCAGGTAGGAGCTATACCAGTTCGGGCATCTACAGGGTGAAAAGCAAGTAAATAATGGACTTGGCTGTGGCTTGCCAGGCATATTACCTCATTCCATGCATCAGTTGATCCACTGGCGCGGGTCCAGCGCATATGAAAAGGTGCAGACTTACAATTGAAGAATAAGAAAGATGACGTCATACCATTACTGACTCGAACCTTTCTTGCTTGGCTTCACATTATCAAAATACTCACCCTGTAGGGCTAACTTCCCTATCCCTGACTCACCGCCGATTACCATCAGTAAGCGGGTATATCTGTCTTATAACGTCATAATGCTTCACGTCTCTTGATAGCCTAAGAAAAAGTTGCTATTGCTGTTAAGAATATCCATCCCAGGGTCTCACTGCCATCTTTCCAGGTTTCAGTCTGTCTGTGTAGCCAGTACACTAGCTCTATTGGCAAATAGGCTACAGTCACAACCGTTACTGCTTTCCATGTCTCTTTCAAACCCTAGTCACATGTTTCGCTCATCTAAATATGGTCGTTGCGTAAAGAACAGGTTTTGTGCATACGGTGTAATAATACCTGTTCTTTATGGAAGATTCAAGGCACTCTCTTCAGCTAATCGACCATTACCGCCAGTACCAAATATGGTCTGATGAATACTCTGTGTGCTTCAGCCCTCTCAATGGAGATGACTATATGCGTGTTTCAGTGCATTTGTTTTTCAACTTAAAGAACACAAATACTATTACAGTACAGAAATTCAGAGTGCAAGGTCACGAATTACCGGAACATAAATATCCCTGGCCGACAAGAATGCTTGGCAATGTTGCCGGAGCTCTCGCCTCTTATGAAACTCCTCCCGTATGGAAATTAGTTGTGTGCAAGATCAACATCGCTGTTGAGCTTATAATGCAAACTTCCAATCCTCATGAAACTGGCCCGCAGCCACTAGCCAAAAAGGGCAGGCCTACGACAAGCTGTACCGAATGTTACCGGCGAAAGCAGAAGGTTCTTATCCCACAGTTTTCTCTCCGCCCCAAGTCCCCGCCCATTCCGCCGAGAACTAACAACAGCTAACGTCCAGTGTGATCGAAAAAAACCCTGTAGCCATTGTTCTGCTCGTAAAGTCGCCAGCAGATGTGTTTACGCGAGATCCACATCGTAGGTGATTCGAGAATGATGTCTTTCTCTCTCTGACGTTTCTAGTCCGCAACCGATGCATTCTAGTCTTATTTCAGACGAGTGGGAGTCAGAAATGCATCTCTCCCCGTCTGATCAGCTGGTCAATTTCCTCCCTCATGGTGAGGAACATTCTCAACACTTTCGTCAGCTTGGATACTCGTCTGTTGCTGGAAGCAACTCCTTCGTAGAACTAGAGCGGGTGATGCGCTGCACTGGGCCTCCTACACCGCCGTCCCAGCCATGTACTGAGGCCTTATTGTTAATTTCCCGTTTGCCTCCTAAGAATATAATGGATGAGCTCATTGCCACATTTTTTTCGGATGTCAACTGGCATTATTTCATCGTGGAGAAGTTTTACTTTAATGATCTGCTCGTACGCTGGTACTGCACTGAAACAAGCCAGCTTACGTATCTTAGCTCATACGAGTTCTCCCAAGAATTGAGATACTTTCCAAGTCTCTTGTTTGAGGTTGTTGCGCTGTCTTTACAGTTTCTCCCCCCAGGAGCGCCAGCGTGGGGGTTTTTTGGAGACGAGGCAAGTCTCTCGCAAAAATACAGCGACATGGGCGTCGAGCTTTTGGAACTATTGGGAGTCCAGGGCACAGCCCTGACTGCTGTCCAAGCAAGCCTCTTAAGGGCATCTTGGTTGAAGAATCTTGGCCGAGGGATTGATGCTTGGCGGTCTTTGGGAAACGCGATCAGGTATGGCATGCCTACCGAGTCCTCTAAATCAAGGATTCTGACACGTTACCAGGCTATCTCAAGAACTTGGCCTCCATCGGCAACAGGTGTTTCAGCAGTCGAGCTCAGACAGTGTTGAGAAGTCATTGGGCTCTTTCTGGTATAACGAGTATAAGAAGCGCATGTGGATTAACCTATACTCGTGGGACAGGTACGGTCTACCTGAGTTTGAGCTGGACCTGCTTTCTGTCTAACCAAATAGTCTCATGGCTCTGGTCCTTGGTCGACCCATGATGATCAGCAATTTTGACTGTGATATCCAACTTCCGATCGACTGTGATATTCCTGATATCCCTTTCAAAACTGTTCCAGTGATACCGTCAAACAACCTGGGAAATCGTCCTACCTCTCTTTCAGCATCCCTTGTCAGGTACTTCATATCTACCAAGGTTCACCGAATACGTGAATTGAGGCTAGATACCCCGCATCCCAAGGATTACGCTATGGTGGCAGTTTTGCATCAGGAGGCTCTATCGATTTTGGATGGTACAAAACCAGTTCTTCGACACCAAAATCCTGACACTTCCTGGGATGCGCAGCACGCATATCTTCCCCAACAGCGTGAGGAACTTTTGACCGTTGTATACACATTCCTCACGGCATTACATCGACCCCATATCAGCACACATGTGCAAAGCCTAAGAGCTGTTTTGCAGGCAGGTATTGTCGTGTTGGACTCTCAACAAAGACTTTTCGATCTAACAAGCACACACCATTACATGCTATGTCACCTGTCATTCTATACAGTGGATGTCGCTATTCTACTTTTAGTGGTCAGTGCACTGCACCCACAGCAAATGCTTGAGGTTACGGGCAATATCCACCGTGCGATCCAACAGGCTATAGTGCGATTGTCCAGGATGGCACCAGTGAATCCCACAGCAAGTTCGGGCCTGGATGTTATTCAGCGTTGCTATCGGAGACTTCAGGAATCTTGTGCATTCTCTCTCCCGGCTGATGCGATACCAGCGCATTCCGCTTCCACGGGAGTTCAGCTGCAAGATATCTGTGGAGCACTGAGCCATGAGCAACTGAACTTTCAGGACTGGGAGTCACCTGAATCACGTTCTTCTCCTGGTAACCGTACCCAGAACTTCTCAACAACGGACGGGTCTGCAACGACACACTACTTTGACCAATCATACTGGCTCCAACAAATAGATGGCATCTACTCTGCTGCTAATCATGCCTCAGATCTTGACACAATACTGGAGGCAGGCCGAGATTGAGCCATGTGATACACACAACCTTTAACGTAGTCGTTTATTGGCGTCAAGAAAATTACAAATAATGTACAATGTGAAAATTGGATAACGAAGCCGGTAGAGTCTGACAAGCACGCACATATGGCAATACAAATGCTGAACTTAGGTCTGATGATGCCCTCCTGTCAGACTCTTTACGTGAGGGATGAAGTTTCTGTTTGTCATTAAGCAAATCCAAGGTTTTGGTCCACAAATTTGCTTCCATTTCTGGACTGTACGCCCATTCCGCATAGCCGGGTCCATGCCGCTGTGAAGGATCGGCCAGTGGTGGGATTTGACAGTCATCCAAGTATTGACCCCCACTGCCTTCCAGTTCCCGTGCCACTGCCCCCCCAAACACTGGTCGCGGCGCCTTGTTCGGGGCTCTTCCAGTAGTTCGTCAGAAATTCGTTTCTCTCCCAGTCGGCTTTTTGTGCGTCCGATATATGGCGAACAAGCTCTGTAGTTATGGTACCAGGATGTAAACTGAAAGCATAAAGGCCCTAAGCGCCATATTGTCTCTCAATTTCGTTCGCCATCTAGATGTTAGCAGTTTTGCCCTGACCATAAGCCTTCCAGGGTGAGATTGTCAAAGTGAACGGAGGAGATACGGGTGAGAACTAGATGGAATGATGATGACTCGGGAATTAGAAGCCGGAGTTAACGAGGACAGGAGACGAAGTTTTAGGAAGATAAATCAGCAGAAAGTGAGGTAGATAATTTATATTAAAGTGGGGTTCAAATCCGTCTGCCGTCCGCTTCCGGACATGCCATCACGCCGGCATTCGCAATTGGGACGTTCAGACTATTTGACGTTTCATTGAATTCCTCGGCACATGCACGCACAGACGCCAGGGAGTTCAAGCACTATATGGGTCTTCGGCAAAAGATCTGCAAGCTTCGGGAAAAGGTGACGTATGAGATGCCAAGCACACAGTCACTGTGGGGAAAGCTTGGTTAGGATTGGGCCCGTGAAATACCGCAGAACTAAATTGTCGGGGTATAATCACGTATTTCCGAAAGGTAATATACTGTCAGCCTCGAACAGCCTAGCTGCACCCGAAGGATTTCGGGAAAATCAGTGGGCCACGGCGTCATAGACCCCTTCGGTCTTGTTCGATATAAAAGTTAATCTAAGGGATAAAAGGGCCGAATATCGAACGAAAACTGATATCTGTTCTACGCAATCTATTTCCAAGAACCCGTTACTACTCCTGGTGATCTTTATCTTACACAATGTCTGCTCCAACGAAAGTCACCTTCCCATCCTTTATGCTGCAGATCAGCGGCGAGCTCTACGCTCCCGTTTCTGGCGCCCCCGACCGCAATGGCGCTGCTGTCGTGATCAGCCACCCCATGACCGGTGTTAAAGAACAAACCGCCGCAGACCATGCCCGGCTGCTATCTCAAGCCGGGTTCTACGCCCTTACGTTTGACGCAGGGTATCAGGGGGAAAGCACTGGACAACCACGTGGGCTAGAAGACCCACATCAGAGAGTCGAGGATAATAAGGCTGCTGTGACCTACTTGAGCACGCTGAAGGGCAAAGTCGATCCCAGCCGGATTGGTGTCCTCGGAATCTGCGCCTCGGGTGGTTATACATCTTATGCTGCGCAGTCTGACAGCCGTATCAGGGCACTTGCCACCGTGAGTGCCGCTTGCGTTGGCCGTATGACCCGAAATGGTGGCCTACACAAGGAGAACAACAAGGAAGTCCCTCAAGCTATCGCTGGTGCACTTCAGGCGGCCGGCCAGTGGCGGGCGAGCCTGGCCAACAACCCTAACGTTGAGCCCCCGGCTATGTTCAGCAGTGATATCTCCGAAATTCCGCCGGACGCAGACTCCTTCTTCAAAGATGCCGCCTCATACTACGGGTCCAAGCGTGGAAACCATCCCCGTTCGGACCAGAAAGTTCCACCATCTAGCTACGATCTCATGATCAGCTATGACTCCTTCAACCTCCAACACCTGATTTCCCCACGGCCGTTATTGATGGTCGCCGGATCCAAGGCCCAGACTCTTCACTACAGTGAGGACGCTGTTGCTGCAGCCCGCGAACCTAAGGAACTGTTCGTCGTCGAAGGAAAGAACCATTTTGACCTCTATGATGACCTTACAGTGTCTGGCCCCAAGCTTGTGGAGTTTTTCGGAAAGAATCTTTAAGCGCGATGCTGAGATTTGAGAAGGAGTGAAAGCGAGTTTGAAGGGTCACTTTCCTTTCTGTAACTATGCGTTGGAACTTGTGCTATCTCAACTTCTTAATAAATATGGCTGCTTCACTGGATACCTTCGCAATCACATGGATTATTCAAAGAGAAAGTAATCTGAATCTCTAGTAAATGGCGTCGTTATTGTTGGATTGGTCTCTTTTTCGGACTCGTAGCCCTTGGCGGAGTGTGGCGTGGTGAAGTACAGCTCTCGCTGGGTTCCATACCTTCCCACCCGAAGAAATACACTAGTGATAGGCACTAGCATTATTGGGTGTAGCGGGAGGTCCAAATGGCTTCCCAGGAGGTCCTTTTATGACGTCTAAAAAAAGAAATATCATTTTAGAATAAAAGATTGATAGGTGAACCCTGTCAACTATTGGTCTGCACATTGCCACGCACCTGTAGCGGCGGGGGCACAGGTGATCACGAAAAACTGGCCAGATGCCGATTCCGTGGGATCTTTGGTAGAGACTGGGATAGGAAATTTTGCCCAAATTGTGAAGAGAAGTAGATCGAAATTCCACTTTAGTCCATCCCCGCTCCCCCCCGAGAAAAAAACCAGAAACCACCAACAAAACACGGTCGGGTGAGCAGAATATGAACATTGAATCCAGCAGAATCATTCTCTGACTGACTGTGTAGCATCATGGCAACCTCCCCCAACACCACCACGCAATACACCTCGGAGCAATTCGTCGAAAGCAGTGGGGCCATCTTATTCGACCTATCGAACAGCCAACGAAAAACGGTCTGCCTGATTCATTACCACGCGAAGAACGAATGGCTTCTCGCAAAAGGACGCCGCAATTGTGGTGAATCCAGGCAGGAAGCTGCCCTGCGCGAAGTCCGCGAGGAAACTGGCTATCAGGCTCACCTCTTCCCGGTCACAATGCAGACCCGTGCCCCTCCAATCGACGAACAGGGCCACCTGCCCGATGTACCTCGCTCGTACCCGGATTTAACAGAGCCGTTTATGGTCACAATGCGACAGTTGGGCAAGGATGGCGTGCATGATGTTAAAATCATTTGGTGGTTTATTGCTGCGCTGGATGACGGGGTGGTTCCTGGGTGTGCTAGTCGTGGGGAGGAGCAGTTCACCCCGGAATTCTTTCCCTTGGAGGAGGCTTTGGAGAAGCTGAGTTTTCAGAATGATCGCGATGTTCTGAAGCAGGCGATTTCATTGGTACAACCCTAAACAGGGTTGTCTGGTGTGAATCGTAACCCGTATTGAAACACGTCAAGAGGAAGGGCGAGGTGAGGGCGAACACAGTTATCATAGGGAGTCCTCAGTGAAATCCAAGACTCTGGCCAATTGAGTATATTGATCTCTTGAACTATTATCTTGATTAGATCACAGTAGAATCTCCATAAATATAACCAGTATAGGGTGCGGTGGTAACAGGCCCCAAGTAGAATTAAAAATATATCGCTTTTATACAAGGCATGAATGGTCAAGTTACATATTGTCGGATCTTATGGTAAACCCCATTGTTCGTCATCCGACGCTAACATACCTAAATACCACAAAGTAAGTAAAATTGTAAGACGCGGCTCTCCCTCGCTTCTCTTTGTATTCTATAGAATAGAATTAGATAGCTCTGAATTTCTACGGCGGTTAAGATAGTGGATGGCGACAAGTTCATAATTAGTAAGAAGAAATTTAAAACGAATTTTATACTACTTTAGAAATTAAGTTAAGCTAAGGCTTGTTTGAATTGCTTTCTTTTATAATGTTCTGGGCTGTTCTGTTAAGTAAGAGAGTATTTGAAAGAGGGTTTTAGATTCCCGGAAAGACGATTCGGTCGTGTACCAGCTATAGCAATTGGATTGTAGTATACGATATCTGGTATAGTTGCTTAATAAGTTCTGCCAAATTTCTTTCTCCAAATTCCACAACAGTGCGGTTACTTAGTTGATCGTTCGTGTCCAGAAAACTAAACCCACTGCGAAGAGCCCCTCGCACCCTTTGATAAATATAGAGTGCAAAACGTCGCTTAAGACCTGTTTCTGAGTTGATAGGTTGAGGAGGGGAGTTGGGCATCGCCTTATCAGCGTATCGGCTATTTGCGAGTATAGCCTGGTGCTGATGTAGGATTGTAGATAAGTTGAAATCTGTCCAGTGTCTAACGGAGCGGATGTCGTCGGCGGAGTATGTTTGTCTTGTTGTGTTTTCCTTCAATTGCTCTTGGTCAATGAACGGTATTTTCGGTGGTCCATGTTGTAAATAAGCTATGAGACTGACCAGATTCTCCATATTGCGTAGCGTGATGGAGGCGCGGTGAGCAGGGATGCCAGAGACTTCCTCGGAACACATAATATTAAAGGGCTGTAAGTTGTTTTTATATTCTGTCCTTGTGGCTGAGGTCATCTGGGCTTCTGGTGCGGACTTCCAAGATAGGCATAGTGCAGAGATACATGGAGATGATCAATTATCTCGTCGCCTTTGCGTAACTCAATCCACGTCCAACAACTACAACAGCGACAAAACATCATGGAAATCGATTTGCCGACAATAAAATACGTTGAACGTATTAAGAGCTCTCAGGCATCATGTATCTTCCGCACAAACTGGGGTGGTAAAGACTGTATTATGAAAGTGGTACGCGACCAGACTTGTCTTTTTAATTTCCACTATCGAATATGCCATTGTATCACGGTATTGAACCAGCAGATGCCGACCCTGAAGACCGCGAAGTCGATATCTTCAAATGTGAAAGCCAAGCCTGTGCTCGACTGAAGGCTCATGGTCTCTGCGCCAAAGGATATATACCTAATTTCTACGGCCTAATTAAATAAATTAATCCAAAAAAGTGGTTATTATATCTAAACGAGTTTCTCAAAGACCCTTTACCTCCTAATGCTGTTTTACTTAAATATATATTGGGTTTTAAAAAGATCTACCTGTTAGCATTCTGATAGAAAAAAAATTATAAATTCTATAATGTTATCAAGGAAATACACAGAGCTGGAGTCTACCATGGAGATCCATATCCACAAAATATGATGGTTCAAGAAGACTTAGAAAGAGTTCTTTGGATTGATTTCGACCGTGCCCAAACGTTTTCTCACGATTCCATTACGGATCGCCAACGGGAATGGGTGCAAGAAGAAAACAAATTGATACAATACTTTGTCGATGCTCGTTTATGGATAGATGAGAACTTTTCCTGCTTCAGGAAACTAACCGCCCTATGACTAGGCGGCAGACTACCATGATGGCAAGATCGATCGTACCTGGTTTGTTTATTATGAGTACGTACACTTCCACCATTCGCCTACTAAATATGCTAATGCACAGACAGCTAAATTGAGGACAGCGGTCTCTAAGAATCATCTTGAGCGTCCAACCGCACTAGCAATCGGATATTCGAACAGACTTCTGACGGGATTTAGATCGATTCTAGGGTTGAGATTCTAGGGAAGTAGCAAGAAGAGGATATGCTGTTTATTTTTCATGTCTTGGGAATATCTAGAGGGGGGAGGCTAATTTTCACAGCTCACTGTACCCGTATAATCTTCCTTATCTTTATGTGGAACAGAATAAACATGACAAGGCATGGATGCCGGTAGTCTGCCTGTGCGAAAAGTATGCAGTGTGTGGGTATGATGAGCATACTAGTAACTGTACTTACCAGGAATTCTTGTTCAACGGTATCAAGCCTGCAGATACTGGGGTCGTTATGATTGCCACAATGAATGGTACCGAAACCATCTATGAAGACTTTTCGAAATCAGTTTCCACGTGATGCTCTTCTATAATACTCCCGACCCCTAGATGTCAAGAAGCGTACTATATCCTTATTTCTTCTTAAATCTGAATATAACAATTTAATAATTTACATATATTAGCATATGCTTTAGTCTATATAGTAATAGAAAAAAATACATACATTTGAAATCTATATCTATATCTAATCCGCGGATTAACGCGACTCTTGACATAAAACCCGCTAAGAAACGGGTCGGGTCAAAACCTACGGGTCCAACCCACAGGCTTTGGCGAGGCCTAATTCCACGTCATCTAGTAGCTGCCTGAGGGCGTAGAGGGCAACCTTATAAAAGCTAATGTCCAGCCCTCATTCAACTAGGAATCTTGAATACACGACTCCAAATCACCACGAATCTTCGCAAACAGTTACAATGATCACAAACGTTCTGAACCGCCCAGATTTCCGAGCCTTTCGCCAACTATTGGCTACGAATCTGCGTCGGATAGCACTATCGCCCCTCACAATGCTCGTTTGGTCAGCTTATACATCTGTAAACTTTATGAGGTGGAAACTGGCGAGGTCCCAACACAGGCCGCTTATCCGAGTTGTCTGTGTTTCTGACACGCACTCCCAGCGCTGCGATATACCAGATGGCGACATTCTGATTCACGCGGGAGATCTGAGCCTCCATGGGAGCGCCCTGGAGATCCAGGAAACGGTTGACTGGCTGAAATCACTCCCGCACCAGTGCAAAGTCGTGATATCTGGTAATAGTGATCGGTTTTTTGATTTTCGTTCCCGATTAGCGGAAGATAGGCTAGCGACGGAACCACCAGTTGAGAACGAGAGCAAAAGCGCCGTACAACATAACCGTGGTGTCTCAATTGACTGGGGTGACATCCATTATCTCCAGCAGGCTTCGGTATCACTGCCCCTTTGTGACACATCTGGTGTACTGCGGCAAATCCGTGTCTATGGAGCGCCACAGATCCCTGTTTGCGGCGGTCCTGAAAATGCCTTTCAATATCCCGTGGATCAAGATGCATGGGCCGACACCATCCCAGCATCTACGGATATCTTGGTCACGCATACACCAGCCAAATTTCACGGAGACTGGTACCAAGGATCTCCCGAAGGATGCCCATTTTTGCTGGAGGAGCTGTGGAAAGTTCGCCCTCTACTGCATGTATTCGGCCACGTGCATACCTCTTATGGGTTCGAGAGAGTACACTGGGATAACGCTCAGTGGTGGATGGAGAACTATTATCGGCATCTTTCACACTCTATTCAAAATCACGTAATGTTCGCCCTTCCAGACTTTTTCCATCCATTGCTGTGGCTGGACGCTGTAATGATTCTGCTCTCTGGTACGGTGACTCTTATGAGGGGCTTGGTTAGTCTCTGTCGCAGAGAAAAACGGTCTACATTGATGGTAAATGCTGCTTGCATGAGCGAAGACGGCTCACGGCTGGTCAACGAGCCGATTGTTGTGTATATATAGTGAGCCAAGATCCAGTTATCCGCGGCTTCGGCGATCATCTCAGATCATCATATTACCTGCCAGGCGTATTTTCTTTGTCTTCCTTTGTGGCTGAAGCCAGCGTAGGGGGAATTCAGGATTCAAGGCTCGTGTAAACCTTGAAGGGACAGATTTGACCTGTTTTACCAATTGATCGCCAAAGCTAACGAATAGTGAAACTACAACTACTGTACAGGAGGGGAAACAGGGCATCACCGACTAAGGTGGCTTTTAAATATAAATTATAGTTCAGTTTTGGTCTTTTGGTGGTACTGAACTAGTTTCTGACGTGCTTTGTGGAAATAAACCCCAGAATCGTTGTTAGATCCGCCCTTCGCAGTTCAATTCACTACCATCCAAACAGTTATATTGACTAGCCCAGGAGGAAGTCTACCGTAGTTACATATCTAATCTTAGTCACAGCAAATAATGCCCCTATCTAACGATTCTGGTCCATAGGATGGTCTGTTCTCTCGCTGCTCTTTAAATTATTTCCCCCCATTATTTCCGCCAATCCTCCTGGCCAGTCAGTCTCCATCTCTCAGCTTAGCCTGGACCCATATCCTTCCTTTCTATGAACATCACCAAGTCGTCTGTTGTTTTGTTGGAGAACCACTGTTGATGAACGGCCTGGGGAAGTGCCTAGGGCTTCTCTTGTGAAGTCGAATGAATCGGTTGGCAAGTCACAATTGGAGATGGCGAGGCCCATTTGCGATCATGTGAAAAAGCACAAAGCAAGATACAAGTGGCTAGCTGAGAATTCTAAGTTCCTGGACGCTTCGTCGACACCTGAGGAGGGAGGAGACATTGGCAAGAAAGGCGAACAACACACAGCTAAAGACAAATATGCAGCTGGAATTGGAGAAATGGTGTGTCTTGGGTCAGCCGATCAAGGGTCAAGTTTCACCTCCAGGCTGATTCAACGGAACAAAATGCGATAAGGTGGCAGAAGCGCGGTAACCTCGTATTGAATATAATGAACGTCAAGATTATTTCCCCAAATTGGAGATAAACCCCTCGCATTTGCCCCGACATTCATTCGGTAAATGCGGGCTTGGCTTTGGGAGAGCTCACTTTCCCACCTATTTGCTTGTGTTTTGTTCTTCCCCTTCCACTCTTGCTCTAACTTATCGAGCCACTCAGTCAATGGTTTCACGTACTGCTCTGCTTTACCATCGTATCAATGCCACGCACACCGTTCGTTAAATTCCCAAGCAGTTTCGCAGGGTCATCGCGATTGCAGATCCGATCATACTCCGTGAGCAAAGCGTACCCAAATCGCGATCTTGCTCCTGCCCCCAATACCCTAACACCATTCAATCCAAGATGGTTTGCAGAGTTGCAAGCGAGGCAAAGCGGCTAAGTGATGGACAGAGTTCTGCAGAGTGTGTACAGAGAGCAGAACAACTGTCTCAGTATTTGGAAACAAATTGGCTGGAGCTTCTGGCAGGTCGGGAAGGGTTCCTCACTGAAAAGCAATGGAGAGCACTAGACAGCCATGAAGTGCTCTGGGGGGCCATGGTAAGCAGTAACCCAAATCCCATCGTTAACGTGCATAAATGGAACACTTTTGACTGGGGCTCCTGGTTAGGATAGCATGGTGAGTATTCTGCTTTTCTGGTTATTTGTGCATACTATCTAACATGTGCAGGGTACGAACTTCCATCGAATCACAAGGTAGATTGCATCAAACTCACGAGCCACAGGCCACGTTAACAATATTATGTACAACCGCTACGTTGAAACTGCCCGGGTTCAGTTCATCCGTCAGCACGGCCAAAATGCCACAGCCGAGGAAAAGAGGCAATGGGACGATTTACCAACCCCACGGAGCCTGGGCCTCATACTCCAAAGAATCACGACCGAGTTCAAATTTGTACGGTGCACACATTTTTTGTGGAGACAGAGCCCCGAATTGACCTAACTTCTTCTACACAGCCAATGAAATTTCCCGATCGGATATCTGTGCTGTATAAATTAGTCGAGCGGCCTACCTACGAATCAACATGCTTGAGGATGGAGGCTTGGGTCTTGTCGCATCAACATCGCCGGGTAGCCGCAAAATGCTTTGACGACACTGTCATCTATGACTACACGTCTGGGAAAAGATCGGTGCTAAAGCCATTCATGGTTGATAAACTCCAGCATACGTTTGAACTACAGAAGATGTGCAAAACGAAGTACACGGAGGAAGCAAGCAAAGCCATTACGGCTGTTGAGGAGATTAAGACAGTATTTCAATAAAGTGTCCATCTTTGACTAGGCAAATGCCAATCTTTCCCTTTTTATATAATCTTTTGGTCCATCACATCCGGATTGCCTAGTGGTTGCAATTTCTGATATCTTTTGGGCTTTAAGACCTGGTGTGGCCCATCACAATGCTAGGGGTCATCATGACAGGGGCGCGAGGCTCAAACTCCCAAGATAGAATATTGACAAAGTTAAGATATGGGGTGGTATTGCTATTGCCGAGAAACTTTATGTGTGCATACTATATCCGATTTTCACGAATCTAGATTCAGGAGGTTGGAAAAGATTCTGCTTCACTATCATTTTTGCGGTCGTCGTCTGGCCACGGTCCATCTTTCCTCACAAGAACGTTCTTGGGAGTCTGCACGTGGGGAGGCTTTAGCATATAAGGTGTTTGTGGACATCTCATCAGCCAGTTTTCAGACAACTGCAAAACTGTGACTGGCCTAAGAAATTGTTCGTAGTATATCACTCTTGGTACATAGTCCCAGGTCCCTCCACACTTCTTAGTCTGAACATATCTGAGGGCGTGTGGTGCCATACATGATGTATATTTCTGTATTGTGAGCACATCATTCATATGGCAACTGACACATATTGTGACTACACGGCTTCTGAGTTCCATCCCTGAGAACTGCTTGGACTTTCGTGGTGTTCACCATTATCCATCGAGCCCTATAGGGTCAAACTTCCCCGAGTCTATCAGAAGCCTGACAACGTCGTATCCACAGTTTTCAGCGGCATATGAAAGCAGCGTTTGACCATAGTGATCTTGAGAATCAAGCTTAACGTCGCAACTTTCGAGTAGCAATTTCACAATACGGTTGTAGCCTGTTACAACGATGGATTTGATGGTCGGCTCAAATATCTGATCCTCATCCTGGAAACTAAGCGTGTGATAGAGGTCGAAAAGTTCGAATATCGGTGTATCGCCATAATTGTCTCTAGGATTGGGATCGACCATCGGTGAGTTAAGAAGCAGCTCCGCTGCGGAGAGATTACCCCAGGCAATGGCTTCAAAAAACGGAGTTCTTCCCTCGTTATCCTTTGACTCGATTTGAACTAAAGGACTTCCCAGCAAAAGCTTTATGGCTGCTGAATCTGAGTACTCAGCCGCGTATGAAAGCGGCGTCCGACCCTTTCCATCTCGAGAATTAGGATCGGCTTTGCCACAATTGATTAAAGCCCTTAGGGTCGAGGTGTCTCCAAGGGATCTGCGAGGGACGAGATTATTTGGGTTGGGCCCAGATTCATTATCATCATCGTACCATAATCTCACCAAAGTCGCTAAATTGACCAAGTCCATATGCTGGGCAGCGTAGGAAAGTGGTGTCCGCCCTCGGATATCTTTAGAATCCACCTCGACTTCGCCTGAATCGACCAAAAGTTTTACAGCCGACGTATCTGCGTGCTGAGCGGCATATGAGAGCGGCGTTCTACCATTGCTATCTCTCGAATCTAGGTTAACTCTGCCGGTGTCAATCAAAAGCTTCATAATAGATATGTCGGAGTATTGAGCGGCATGTGAAAGCGGCGTACGTCCTTGATCATCCGCCCTGTCTAAGTCGACTTTGTCTGAACAGACCAGAAGCTTTAAAGTCGATGTATCCGAGTTACGAATAGCCTCTAAAAACATCCACTGGCCTTGCTCCTCCGAAATATTAGGGTCTAGTTCCCTCAATTCAATTAGATGCTCTAACTGGGAGGTATTCGAGTGCTCAGTAGCGCCGTGAAGCGCTCTCAGATCCTTGTTCTCCATTTCGCTGCACACTGACAGTGACGGTGTCGATTCATAGGTGAGCGAAGTATCAACGTAAAGCAATGCATAACCATTGTTGTTTCCAAAGTCCAGGTCCACTCTGCTGGACTCGACCAACAAGTTCACAATCGATGCATCTGAGTGCTGAGTAGCAAGATCAAGTGGTGTTTCACCGTTTCGGTTGGCAATGCGTTGATCAACTCTGCCAGTCTCGATCAACACTTTCGCAGTAAGCATATCAGAGCGCTCGACAGCATAATGAAGCGGCGTCTGGCCATATCTGTCTTGATGATTGAGGTTGATCGCAGCCCCACAGCTTACCAACCACTGTACCATCTCACTTTGGCCGAGGCGGGCTGCATGTGATAACACTGTTCTGAAGTTGCTATCTGTTACATTCATGTTATAATGCCCAGTACTGAACAAAACCTTGGCAATATCCAAAAAGCCCCCTTGTACAGCATGGAAGAGAGGAGTCTGCCCATACAAGTCTTCGACATTTAGGTCGCCGCCGTAAAGTTCAATTAAAAGCTTCACAATTCTCAAATGGCCTCCTCTGGCAGCCCGTGAAAGAGGCGACCTATTATCAATCCCGCCATGACGGTTCCACTGGTGGCGAGCTTTGAGTTGCTCAATACATCGTGAGCTGGCTGCGGTACACTTGGAAGTAATGCGATCTTGAGAGGTCCAGTTGAGAAATTGGCCATAAAAGTCATATTTCGGGGAGAAATCAGCCGACTTGACAGACAGAAGCCCCTCCACAACTTGCTCCTGTCCATCCTCAACGGCAAACGCAAGCGCCTCCCCGAGTTCGGTGACTCCCGTGCTGAGTGCGCATGCGACTGTATGAGGTTGGCGATTGATAATGGCCCAGATAAGTGCCCAGCCATCAGACTCTAGCATATTCTTTCGGTACAAGACGGGATTGCAGACAGAGAGAAAACGGCTGTCGGATTGGGCGAGAGAAATGAGGTCATTCTCTTCCAACAGCTCTGCAATGGCATACAGTATCTCGTTAGGTAGTCTGGATGCCATCGGTCCTGAACGTGAAGCCGATATATACGAACAGGGTTTCATTGGATCTTGTTCTAATGCTTCAGACTCGATCTGGGGATTGCGGGTTAATTCAGACTCTGCGGGGGCTCGTGTAGTGGGGTTCCGTTGACCAACCAACTTACCACCGAGTATTCGGCCGAACTTTTGTACAATAGCTGCTATGATGTATGAAGCCATCCAGCGTTATGTCAAAGTTCTATACACCAAGTTGCTCGATATTTGACTTTCAGGTATCTTTTAGATCGGGTTTTCGATCACAGGAGTAGGAATATACTATATCGTTCCACCGTTCCCTAGAACTATGTATTTTAGGTGGCGATCCAACTGAATAAAATTATGTTTTACAGAGCTATCACGAGGATCTAGATAATAAGTGTTAATATAAAACAGTTCCTATTCAGCAATTACCCCCCCCCCCCCCCCCCAATCAGCTGTGACTTCGCCGTCGACTGGTCGCTCCTAAACGCATCCCATTCTTCCTGCGTACAGTAATAAGTTTCATAGTTCTATTTCCGTGCATTCTGGTAGAATGCAGTATATACCTCGGACCTTCGTTATTATTTTCTCCACTGATTAACTCTCCACTCCTGATACTTATGAAAACGTTATCTCGAAGGCATTCAATGTTTGACAATCACGTCTTGTATGTAACATTTTATCATTATCGGTGGCTTTAGTACAGAGGCGGCCAAGGACTATTACACTGGTCATTATAGTGATAGGAATCCATCAGAAGACCCTAGCCATGCAGCGATGGTCGCCGGGAAGTTTGGCAGGAACCGACAATGTCCGGGGTTAGGGTAGCGGACGCACCACATCAGCCATCTGGACCCAAGGCCGCTTTAAATTACGCCCTAGAATTACTCAGTTACGAGTAGAAACCTTCGCTCTGTACGTATCGTACAAATACAATTTATCTCCACTCCCAAACATTCCTGCGGAGCGATGTCGCGGCCGAAGCTCGGCAGCGTGGGTCTCGTAGCAATGCATGCAAGTGGAAACACAATTGGCTTAGTATACTACTGCACGAATGGGTGGGGATGCAGATGCACTATGCTACGAGTCAGTTGCTGATAATGATTTGAGCTAAAGGGACACTCCACATATGGTCAGCCGGTGCAAAGACACACATTCCATTTCGACAAACCCGTTCAGGCTTTCCCGACTCGCCCATAGCATATGAGACTTCCATTCGAGCTGCCTGATACAGGTTCTATCCTTCAACGGGAGTAAATAATTGAGATACAGGCCAATAGTATCATATCTGCACTGCTGTCCCAGCCGCGGATGACGGTTGATATGTTGTTTTCGTATTTCACGAAGTGTTCAGTAGCTCGGTTTGAGCATGCGACGCTGCACTAGTGCCTCGATGTGCTGTTATGTCACTTGCTTCCAGGTATGAAGGTATGGCAGATGGTTCTACAAGACCTAAACTTCCTACTTTTGTTAGGTATACCTCCATAAATCCATAACAGCCATCCACCTACGAGCAAATCTCAACTCATGCTATAGGAATCCTGTGAAAAGAAAGTTTCAGGACAGTAAATACCAAGAGCAGTGTAAAAAATGTAGGCTCTGGATCAACCCAGAGTTTCTAAACACAAAGACGACAAGAATAACGCGAAGAAAAAAGCAAGAAGAGCATGAACATGAAGCCTTCAAGATAGGATAGTCAGAAATTCAGTAGTTTCATAAGTATTAAGCGCAATCATTTGATATAAAAAGACCCCACCAAATTCCTTCCGCGATATGTATAGAGTTGTCAGAGGATTTAGAACAGGTTTAATTAGTGAGGCATGGGTTAAACCGGCCGTTTCGGCTTCAAGCTGTTTAAGCTCTATATAGTACATCATTCATAAGCAAATAAGATCTAGAGTATACAACCTTCCATCTCACTGTATCCCCCGCTCCTTAAATTATGAAAGAAAAAGAGGAAAGATGAAGAGTGGAAGTCATGCCTCTCAGACTTGCTTTGCAAGAGTTTCAGGGCATTGTCCCTCTCTTTTGCCTATTCACCAGCACAGGCAACCCAGAGGTAATAACAGGACCTTGGAATGCACTCGTGTCCAGAGTTAGGCACTGGAAGTAGCTGCACGGCACATTCTGCCACTTTCCGAGACGGTCCACTCATCAGAACCAACGGCAGTCAGCCCATAGAAGAGAGAGTGAGGATCGTACTTGGCCTTGATCTCGCGGAGTGTGTCGTAGTTCTTGCCATAAAATGCAGTCTTGAAGTCGGGCTGGCGGAAGTCGGCCTATAGATCGATTGGTGAGCATATGTCAGAATAAGCTAGAATCAACGCTCGAAAATCAACTTACCTCGTTAAGATAAGCGCCGGACTCGGGGGCCAAGTTGCTGATGCTAGGAACCAACACCTCGGTCATCAATTTCTGCTGCGCAAGCATTTCCTCTGGCTCGTTAAACGCCCAGTCTGTATACAGAAGTACGTGGGCAATTGCGTTGCGCCATGCCGGGTTCACGGCATTATAGACGTCGCCAGTGACTTCCTTTGACACATTAACCGCCACGGTGGTGAAGGTAGCACCCGTAGAGAGGATGGTCTTAAAGGCTTCGGTAACGTCATGTCTCGTGCTGTTTTTCTCGACGAGGGACCGAGGGAGAAGCCAGCTGCCATACTGGGAGACTGCAATTTCGACGAGCGGCACCTGGGCATTGAATTGGTCAAGGTAAGTGGGAAAGCTTTCGGCATGATAATCATATGTGATGCCAAGCTTGTCCAGACCATTGAGAAATGGTTGAACAAGGCTCTTAAGCTTCTCCAAGGAAAGACCAGGTGCAGTCATAGGGGAAAGGGAGAAAGAAGTGTTGGTAAGGAAGTTCAGACTCATAATACCTTCATCCACGAAAGAAGGCAAATAAGAGTTGTACAGCTCCACGGCTTTGAAGAACGTCTCGTCAGAAATGTCGGTGGTTGTGAACGTAAGATTCAATCCAGATACCTGACCATCGGCATGAGCCTTAGAGGTCATAGACCAGACAACACCATAGGTGCCACCGCCACCACCAGCCAGTGCCCAGTATAGATCACTGTTCTGTTGACGGTTCGCGACGAGGAGCCTGCCAGTACCATCTATAACCTCCCACTCAAGGACCTGGTCCGCACCAAGTCCGTACTTCGAAGACAGGGAAGAGTGACCGCCACCTTGGCTGTATCCGCCGGCAATACCGACAGAAGGGCACTCTCCGCCGACCACCCGAAGCCCCTGCGCCTGCGCTGCCTCATACGCCTCGATTCCCTGGACACCAGCACCCAGCTTGACAGCCTTTCCTACATACCATTTGTCGTCCCAATCCTTGAATTCGATATCCTTCAGGTGGTGTGTCCAGACTGACAGAGCACCTGCACCGGTAGATTTTCCGTTGTAGCTACGACAGATTAGTTATAATCGGATCAAAAGTAGCTATGGGAAAGTTCAAGGTGATCGTACTCATGGCCGGTGTTACGGATCACAAAACGGATATTGTGCTCATTGGCAAATTGCAATGTCTTGGCGACATGGGCGGGCGTAGAGACATTAACTGCATATCGGACGAAATTGCCAAGGGTACAGGGCTTAGAAACAGGGTGATATGGATCGCATGTGGCATTTGTGAAGAACGGAGCCATAAGAGACGAAGAGGATCGATAGCTGGCCTTGTTAACATTCTCACATTCCATTGCGCGGGGTACAATCTCAACCCAGGAACTTACTGCTCCTCTGGCAAAAGCCAGCCATCTTTCAAAGCTTCACATTTATTTTCATCGTAGTTGGGAGCGTGGCACGGAGCTGCGAGAGGCACAGTAGCCACAAGACGTCCATCGACCGACTGGTTGAAAGCATCCCAGGTCGAAACCGACGGCCAGCAATCATCGCCGGGGAAACATCGGCAAGATGAGCTGTCCGATGCCTCAATTGAGGGGGCAATGGCAACCAGGCCGAGGACAGCCCCCAGTTTGAGGGTATTCAAAGATGGCATTGAGAGTTGTGCGCTGGCCCAAGAGTGCTTGCACGGGGTTAGAAACAATTGACGAGAGTTGAAGAGCCGACATCCTTTTCGGTACTTATGGCTCGGCTACTGAACATTCCGAGCTCGGATAAGTCTCCTGTGCAGCTAATGCCGCTAATGCAGGAAGCATAGTGGCATGAGGTTAGCAGAATTTAGCACTCGCCCCAGCCTTCGCTAGTGAGATGATGTCGGGAACTCCAGGATTCCTTCGGCCCCACAAGACACATTTGTCTAGTTGGATTTATACGAGGTATGCTGGAGGGAGAATATAAGTACCAGGTGGATTTAAGGCCCCCCAGATGTAAACGCCACCCAAGAAAACATGGACGCAGATACAGTTTATATCATACATAAACTATATGCAACTCCGTGGCAACCCCAGTCAAGGGGGCGCTTTTGCCGCGATCTCATCTTAGACTAACAACCTTAACAAGTGAACCAAAGTCAACCCAGGGAAACCCAAGTGGGCCGCTAGCTTTCGGCCCCCAAGCCTTTCCAAATCTTTTCGTTACGTGGCGTTCACGACCCCGGGGTAAATCTTCTACAGTTCCCCGTCAAAGGTTCGGTTAACTGCCTTATTGCCATTTTTTGTACTGTAGTCATATAATTACATAATTTATTTCAATTGATATCTCCGGCTGGATCATTGTTAGATTAATATTCTTTATAATTTCATGATTTTGATTGGGTATATATTTTTACTTCGGAATTACGTAGAGTTTTGTTCAATTCTAGATAGGTTTTGCATATTACTTTCACTGTCATTATTCTAGAAAACTCCCGAGAAATCTATCGTGAAAAACACCTGATAAAAATAGGCGCTTCACGGAAACTTTTCAGGGGGCCTGCCGTAACTAAAGGTTTTCCATGGAGTTGGGGCCAACTAGCTAGCATGACCTGCATTGATAGATTCAAACTCTGTTGTTGTCGCCACTAGCTGTCTGAAAAAGCTCAGAAATGTGTATATCAG